GTCTACTTATTTCGCGTGTAGTTAATTACTCATATTACACTGTACCCTTTAACACTTGCTATCTTGAACAAGAAAAGAGATACAGCTTCTCTTTTACAGCCTGAAAAATCTTTGCACACACTATTGAAAATCTTTCAAGAATTCTCTAAATCATAACTTACAGATAACAATTTGTAGTACAATATTTCGCTCAAGATTCCAAGGGGTTGCTTCAGACCTTCAAGTCTGTTTTCAAAAACGATGCCTTGTGGAACACTAAGAACTTAAACTTTAATACTGCCAAGATCTCACATCATTTTTGCTACCAAAATAAATCTCAAAAGAATACAGTAACACAACACTGGATAAAACAAACTAGTGGTACTGGTCAAGAAATCTACACCAAGTGATTTCCCAAATTTTGTTGGCAGCTCTTTCCTTAATTTGTATATTTGATGCTCAGGCTGACATTGATTGGTAGGACTGCACTCCTCCTTGCTTATATTTTCCAAGCTCATCTGATTGATCTGTCTTTGCATGAGGCTCTCAAACACACTGTGATTAGTTGCTCTTTCTTCGATAGAGCATTAAAAGGTTCTTGGCTTTTATCAATATGTACTACTTCATGTCTTCTTTCAGAATGTCCCAGATTAAAACATGCTTTCTGCTTTGCTACAGTACTTGTTTGGTAAAACTTTCTGCACAAACTTTGCTGCTTCATCAGGGAAATATGTTTCAAAACTGATGACAAGTCAGCCAGACAGATTTTTTTCATGTTTGCATATGCAAATGCACATATATTTACCTATTATGTGAGCACATTCTAAAATTAATCCAATTCAGCTCTTAACTGTAAAACATACATCTACATGTAAGTGACATATAGGGCATAAAAATCTCATTTTCTTTTATACAATCATGTGTACCTCCCAAAAAGTTTTTTTTCTAATGCGGGCCTAGGATGCTGAGGTGAAGAGTAGTGGACATTTGTCCTCTTCATATTTCCTAATTTATGTTTTTTAATCAGTTTTAGACATTGCATAAAATCATTACATTTTTCATAGTTTCCATTAGATCGTTCATTACAGTATTCAAAACTTTGATATTTTACCATAAAATGTTGGAAAATGCAATGAATGGTAAAATTATGTAACTAACTAACTTACCTCACCGTAAAGGGGCCACACCTGAAATGCAATCAAACCACACTTAGTTGTGACTTTGTTATGCTTGAATCAAACTTTATTTACCTCTTCATCACAGAGAAATAGGAACCCACTTTGCTTCTCGCCACAGAGGAATATAGAATTTTAATCATCTAAAAGCCAGCCAATCAGCATGTGTGAAAAGCGCATAGTCTACTTTTTTCACGTGTAGTAAATTACACGTATTACGCTGTACCCTATAACTCTTACTATACTTGAGGAAAATATGGGATGCAGCTTCTCCTTTTACGGCCCGAAAAATGTTTGCACATATTATTGAAAATCTTTCAAGAATTCTCTAAATTGTAAGTCACTGATAACAATTTTTGGTACGACATTTCGTTCAAGATTCCAAGGTCTTGCCTGAGACCTTCAAGTCTTTTTTCGAAAACGATGTCTAAGGGAACAATATGAATTTAAGCTTTAATACTGCCAAGATCTCACATCATTTTCGCTACGAAGATAAATCTTAAAAGAATTCAGTAGCACAACGCTAGAGAAATAGCTAGTGGTGCTGGTCGAGAAATCTAAACTAAGTGATATCCCAAAATTTCGAAATTCTCTTACCGGTGGTAGTATATCGGAAAATAAATCATCCAACCGAGGCAATTTAGGAGGACTGTACTCCTCCTCGCTCATATTTTCCAAACTCATCCAATGGGTCTATCTTTACATGTGGCTCTCAAATACATCCTTTATCACTGGGATTGGTTGGCCTTTCTCGATCCTATGGTTCAGCCATCGCGTCGGTCCACCCTAAGTTTGCAAATCTCCTTCACATTAATATCGAATCTGGCTTCCTTCGGTGGGAAATTTTCATTTCCATCCTCTTTCCAGTCTCGATCCCAGGCAAGTTAGGTTCCAAACTTCCACCTTGTAAACATTAGAACAGAATGGACTGGACTGGACTACATCACTGATCTAAAAAGCGGCAGTAAAGAAGAAGAAAACGTGAAGCCATTGACAAAATGAATTAGATTAATTTGGGCTCAACAAATATTAAAAACATACAAATACATACGCAAACAAAGACAAAACTCCCGGGGAAACGAACCGTAAAAAAAAAAACACGATATGCTTTGACAGTCTTTTCGAGTCTTTGCTGTAACCCAGTCCTGCAGTGGACTGTACTAAGAACGTTTCCCCGCAAGGGATGCATGTAAGTAGCTCGCCTTCGAAACGAGAAACATAAAATCGGACGCATGTAAAATTTGTTGTAAGCTTCTTGTCAAATTGATGGTTTCTAGTAAAACACAATTTCTGTCATTTCAGTGCCAAGTATAACGTCTCAATTTTTGCTTTATCATTACAGAAACTTTACATAAGATCTAGCTCAAGTGAACAACTAACAGCCTCAGAACAGGTCTCCTGCTTACAGAGTAAAACGAGCCGAGAAAGATTGGTTCCCGGCCCAACTCTCTCGGCATTCGCTTCGTTGAACGGCAGACCAGTCGTCAAGTTTCGAATGTTGATGAAATCGCTTTCAGAAATACAACCTAAGTTAAGCTTTGCTAAGGTTAAAACTTGTGTTAATGGAACCAATGATGCGAAAGACAAAATTATTAATGGGCCATCAAAGGGCTTTTAATTATAAGTGGTTTTATGCTTTAAGAATTGCAAATTAAATCAGTCATTTTAATTAAAGGTCCTCTTGTACTTAGTGATAGACCTAACTATTAACCGACTTAAGCGTTTAGAAAAGTTTACAACAACGGCTTCTTGACTGAGCTGATTTGTATAATATCAACTGAGATCGGTTACTAAAGGTCAATTCCTGGGTGACGTAATTAAAATTGCTTTTGTCAGTCACTAATCATATCAGTCTCCTGCATAAAACGCCGTTGTCCCAGCGGATTTAGACCCCCTGGTCCAAATCCGCTAGCGGATATGATGAAGAACTGAGGCATGCTATATCTTCCATGAAAAATAATTTTAGGGGCAAGTTTGAGGATCAAGGAGAACAAGATTTGTACTCATGCCTCCAATTATTCGCTTAGCAGGGTCTTGTATCGGAGGACAATCTGACTTTGATGGAAGGGTTTCTGAGCCTGAAAGCGTCCAAGAAAAAGTCGTTAAAAGAAAAAAAATCAACAATTTAAAGAAAACCGCCAACAAGAGGCCAGTCCTGGAAAGGGAGAATCAGGTGTGACCGGCAGGGAACGTGACCTAGAGAAAGTTATGGCAATGTTGATAACGGAAAATTCACGTGTTGTCAATTTGCATGGAATT